AATTATTACTTGCCACTCTCTGGGCACTACCAATTGCATTACCATGGATACTTACTGCCTTTGCTGGCTTGAAATTTCAGGTTCAAAAGTACATTTATTTTTTTTTTATTTCTTTAAACAAAAACAAAGGACTAGATGTTCTCAATCACATATGCTAAGGCACACTAGAAGAAATGTAAAATTCCATATTCCTGCCTCGTTAATACAGAGAAAAATAATACTAATGTACACATTTATTTTCTACATTTATGACTTTTATACATCTCCTTCAATTTTAACTCATTTACTTTACATAAATACAAGTTACAATATCCAAAGTCAAGTCTCATTTACAAAGAGCATAATTAAGAAATGATGAAGACCTTGCTTTGTAGGGAATTGGCACTTAGACACTGGTAATGTTTAGAAACCATCGTTAGAAACTTGGTGAGGATGCCATGGCTAATTGTATGTAAAGAGCTGTCATGATGTAGATGGGACTTAGCAATGAATCTTGTTTGAGGTGATTCATTCGATAGATGCTATGTGGATTTAATATTTTTTGGCAGTTTTGTTTTAATTTCTTATTAAATTCCATTCTTAAACTTGAAATAAGACTGACCTAAACTCTAGATATCCTGTAATTAACTCATAAGCATCATTCTTAGAAGAGTTAAAGTTATCCTTCCCAACTGGGAGAATTTCTAACGCTTAGAGGGTTGGGCTTCCTACTCACACCAATTTTAAATCCCCAAGGCTTTTATTTTCCCTTTAAGTTTCACATTATCCTATGCTTTCCCACCACTAAACTTATTGTATCAATCAGCTCTGAAATTAAGATTTCATCTTGTGAATTTTGACCCTACTATCTCAGATCTCCATCTGACTATGGTGACAAAATCAATACACAGTAGCACTGGTCAGTGGTTAACGCTGAGGAACACAAAGATGGAGCCCATCAAGACCTGCTGTGGGTGGTGTCAAGTGTTTTCTTCTGCTCCGGCACTCATCGATCTGTTTGACTTACTGGTACAAAACTGAATCAATAATCTTGACTATGGACAGCATCTATGCCATTATATTTTGGGGCACAAAGATGTGTTTCAAAGAGAATAAGGTACAATGTCATTGAAATCCAGAGCACATTAAGAGTGTAAGCGCTGATAGTTGGCAGTGGAGGCAGGAATAAAAGGGAAGAAAAAAATTATTTAAGTCCTCAGGGAAATAAAAGATATACTTGCTTGCTTTAGTGTATTTGATAATAAGTACTCTTAGTCTCAGACTCAGTATTCTTTCAACAAATACTTATTGAGACCTAATATTTCCCTTTTATTTTATTAATATATGTTTGCTGGGGCAGCAAAGATCTAGGTAGCTGAGACCTATTATATTCCAAGCTGTGAAGTAGGTATTAGAGACACAAAGAATCTTCATGGATCACATTATTTGGGAACATCAGTTTCTAGAGAAATAACCTACTGCCCCCACACACTAGATTTGAATAGAAATTACTCCCACATCAAAGAACTATTCTAAATAAAAAAATGTTCACAAGGATTATGGAGCCTGCTAACAATACACGAAGGCAGATGGGGGAAATAACCAAATAGGAAACAAAATTGTCCAGATAATACTTAATGTAAATGAGATGCAAAATTTTTTGGGGGAAAAAACCCTAAAAAACTAGTACTATGTTTACCAGAGGGGCAAAGAGAGTTTAACGGCCCCTCCTATTTTCTGGTTTGACATAGTACCATGAATACATTTCTTACCCTCTTTAACTGTAAAGTCACAAAACAAGCCATTAGACTCAAAACAAAGCACAGCTCTTGATAGCATGTAACATCTTATTTCATTTATATTCTAATAGTAATACTACATATTGGTAAAGTAAATTCACTTTTAATATTTTCACATTACTGGTAACACAGACAAGTGACCATAAAAAAAGCCAAGTCCAAGGTGGCAAACTTAGGATTAGCACATCAAAAAGATAGTTTGCTCAACCCTGTTTTTAGATGTAGGATATTAGTAAAACACTAGGCCTAAAAATACATAGCATTGTGTTTCGCAATCCTCTACTATCTATAATCAGTTTCAAAAAAAAAAGAAAAAAGGGAGGGAAAAAATTCGATGAATTAAGACAGTTTCTTCTTTATATGATGATAACTTGGTTGCTGAATGTTGGTATAGCACAGAAAGGATTTTTCCACACCTTGTTTTTTTTAAAAAAAGTGCAAGTGGAAGCATGAGGGTATGGGGATTGAGCAAGGAACAAATGAAGATCCAACCAGCAGTGTACACGTAATGCCAGCAGGTGAGGCCGAGCTCTGAGAGCTTCTAAGCTGGGGGCAGGAGGTACCGAAATGACCTACACAGGCCACGTCTTCTGCACACTCAGAGGACTCTGCAGTGCGTTCAGCACAAAAGGCTGTGCCTTGGAGTCCTCATTTGACAAAAATCTCCAGGAGACCCCACTGTGTTTCAGAGAGAATTAAAAAAGCACTTACTGAGAAAAAGACAACTAGAGTTACAGAATTCTGTTACTCTTCAGAGTAAATCTGTATTTATTTAGAAGGGATCTTGGTAGTCATTTTGCCCAAATCCAATGTAAAAGTCCCTTTCACAGCATCTAGAATAGATGGTGATCTTAACCTCTATTTGGGCATTTGCAAAAACAAACCAGGTTGGTTTATTTTACTTACCAGGTCCATTCTGCTTTAAAACAATCCTTATCAGTGGCAAATTCTTATATAGAAGCAAACATCTGTCATCTGTAAATGTCCTCTCTTCAGTCTGTTTTTGCCCTTTGAAGCTACAGAGAACAAAGTCTAATTCCTCCTCTTATAGGTCAACAGAAGTTTAGAGGCAGCTATTCTACCACTCGTCTTTGCCCAAACTCCCTTCCCAGATATACCTCTGTTCTTCGGGGGAATTATTCCTGTCCCCTGTACAGTTAGTCTCTCCACAACCCTGTATCTTGTCTCTGGACACATTCAATTTACTAATAATCTCTCTTTTAAAATATGGTTCCCAGAACCAAACCCAGGAACTCTGGTAGCATAGTACCTAAAGCACCTGACTGCTAACCAGAAGGCTGGCGGTTCAAACCCACCAGCCACTCCTTGGAAGGAAGGTTGGGCCATCTACTTCCATAGTGATACCACCTCAGAAACCCAAGGAGGGGTCGCTGTGAGTTGGGTCCGACTCGATGGCACATAACAACAACAACAAAACTGAACCCAAACCCTCCACACAGATAAGGACGGACCACAGCAGAACCCAGGACTCCCTGGATTTGTATTAGCACTGGTTGAATGCATTAGTATTTTGAATATCACGATATACTCCTGACTCAAAATTGAACTCGTTTCCCTAAAAACTAAAAAAAAAAAAAAAATTTCTACATAAACAGCTGTCAAACCAAGTCATCCCAATACTTTTCCCATCAACACACACATATAAATACACACACTCCACTGTGTACCTACAGGGCTGCATTTTAGAAACACAGAATATAGGGTATCTCATTAATACTTATTCAATTTCATATTATTTTAAGTTCTATGTTCAGATATTTTAAGAAAGTGCAGTGATTTGTACACCTAGTGCCAGTGCATAGCTAGAATTCATCAGATACTCACTGAATAAATGAGTCTTGAATTTGTCATCCAACAAACTGGACAGCTTGTCAATTTCCGGGTCATCTACAAATTTGGGAAGGATGCTTTCTGTTTCCTCACTCTGTTCTTCATAGGTAGGTAGAAAATGCCTCTACATTGTTAGGCGAGTGTCTCCTTTGGGATGACCTTTGTAATTCCTGTGTGTTGGGGGGGGCAGGGTGAGAAAACACCAAGATACAAAAAAGCAGCAGCAGGTACAGGCTGTGAGCAGGACCCGATGAAGGGAAAAGTTTAGGGTCTCTGACTCCTGATTCAGATTTTATGTTCCTAGCTCTAGAAAAATAGGGCTTTTCCCCGTTGCTAGCCTGGGCTCTTCTGCCTTTTCTCTCTCTTACAACACTGATTATCAAACTCTGAATTTTGAGGGGGCAAAGCTCATTCAAGTTTACTTTGAAAATAGCTCTTAAAACTTTTCTGCCTAAATGTCCTGTAAAATTTGAGTTAGAGAGACATGCAGCTAGCTAGCTATTGGCTAAGAGGTATAAGAAGAGTGCCTAAATCCCCCAGAATGCCTGACGTACGGATAATCCATTTGTTTTAGGAATCAGAAATGGCCTGTAGTTTTCAGTGTGCATTTGAAATTCACCAAGATTTCATCTGTCTCCTGAACTAAATACAACCTTAAAATCAATGTCCCTTTTCCCCACAATGAAGAAAAATAAGCTCAATGTTATTTCCCTTTAATAGCTGTCCTTTTGCCAAAGTCCCTATTGGGCCTTTGTTTGGATTGTCTATTGTGACTGAGGTGGCAAACCCTGGGGCTGGAACTTAGAAAGATGGCAAGTATGTTTCAATTTAGACAACCCAGAACCAAGAGATAAGATGTTTGGCACACTTCTGTTGCATAACGTTTACATTTAAAGAATAAAGACACCTACAAAAGGACTAGGCAACCAGAAGAGGAAATGGTTTTGCACCTTTTTTGAACCTACTCTACAGGGAGTGACAGAGATTAATTCCTAGTGAATTAACTTTTCAAGACTCTGTTTTTCAGCAAATCACGTGACAATGAACATCAGAAGAAAATCATGCCAAACACCGATGTGGGATGTTTTTCTTCTGACTCTAGCAGTCATAACAAACTACACACCAGTGCCACGAGATCAGCAGGGACGAGACAAGGAGGCTTAAATATGCAATAAGCTCCAAATCAGGTCAGTCACGAGCTTCAGGCACGATCACAGCCAATCAGCCTTCCCAAGGCAACCCCCTCACAGGGAGGTCCACTACTCTGTTCCCAACATGGAGTGGTCATGTATGTACTGACTCTAACTTCAGTTACGCAGAAAGAGATCCTATCATAACTCTTGGGCCAGGGTCCCTTGCAGTAGGGCTTTGTCACTGGATCCCACACTCTTTAGGATTTTCCATCTCATCTCCTTCAAAATCTGGCTTCAAACTCTTTTTTTGCTCAATCTCCACCTGTCAAGAATAGAAGTTGGAGAGAAACATTAGAAAGAGGAAGAAGCACCCAAGCAAATAAATAAGCCAAAAGAGAATACCTTACTGGATTCTTTGCGTTTCCTTGTAACTTTGCTAACGTTTTGGGCTTTAGATGCACTGGAGCTGCGGGCCCTGAGTATATCATGGCTCTGTCTGCATATACTTGGTCCGGAATTCTCTCCCCCTCACGATTCTTCCCCTGGAAGATTCTCACTCCTTGCCTTGCACACTTCTTCAAAGGCCACCTGTTCTGTGAAGCTGTTCTTGACTCCCTGGGTGCTCCTCCCTGTGAATGTTCTCACTGTTCCTTGTCCACTTGCCTGGCACAGGAGTGGCGAGGACAGGGGCAATATCTGTTCACTACTGTATCCCAAGGGAGCTCTGGTAGCATAGTGGCTAAGACACTTGCCTGCTAACCAGACGGCTGGCGGTTCAAACCCACCAGCCACTCCTCGGAAGGAAGGTTGGGCAATCCTACTTCCGTAGTGATACTGCCTTGGAAACCCAAGGAGGGGTCGCTATGAGTCAGGGCTGACTCGACGGCACATAACAACAACAACAACAACTGTATCCCAATAATGCACACATGCAGTAGGCTACATCAACAAATGTTTCTCAAATCAATGAATTCCTTTGTCATTGTTCACAGCTCTCCAACACATTATCTCTCCAAACTGCAAAGTATCTGGCGTGCATGCAGTTCTACTTGTATCTTCTAGAAAACACTGTAGTTGTAATTATGAGGGATTAATAAATTAATCTTGCCTGGAAAGCAACATACCTCAACTAAAGCTTATGATAAATCAGGCAGGGGATCCTTGAGCTAAGGTACTTCATAATCAAGGCTGCTACTCTCAGCACCACCTTGGATGTTTCTGATGCTTGATTAAACAAATTGCCATGGAGTCAGTTCTTGCTCATGGTGACTCACGTGTGTCCATATGGTATTCAAGGGCTGATTTTTCAGGACTAGATTGCCAGGCCTTTCTTCCAATGTGCCTGTGGATAGACTTGAACCTCCAACCTTCTAGTTAGCAGCTGAGCACACTTACATTTGCAGCACTCTGAGACTCATGATGCTTGAGTTAGCATCAACTGAAGACATGGAACAGTGGACTGAGGTCACATTTGTTGTTGTTATGTGCCATCCAGTCGGACTCAACTCATAGACACCCCTCCTTGGGTTTCCAAGGCACTATCACTACGGAAGTAGATTGCCCAACCTTCCTTCTGAGGAGTGGCTGGTGGCTTTGAACCGCCAGCTTTCTGGGTAGCAATGCCTTAGGCACTACGCTACCAGAGCTCCTAAGGTCACATTTGAGAGAAGTGCTATTTTATTCCTGACCACAAGATGGAGCATTTGTCCTTTTTGGTAGTTAAATTCTTCTGTTCACACACTAAGGAAGCATTTAGTGGAAAATAAATCACTATTCAAATCTAAGGTATAATTATGAATATGAAATTATTAACTCACTTTGAAAGATCCTTCTTCAACAATCTCCTTTACTCTCTTGGCAGTCAATCGCCTATCAAATTTCTAACTTCTTAGAGTATAATCACTTTCTATTTATATCAGAAAACTGCAAGTCTGTTTACACACCCCACAGCCTGATCCTCTTACTATGACAGAAACCAGCTTGACTTTTGCATTTTGTCCGGTTATAGCCCAGTGACCAGGTCATATGTGCCCTAACTGTATTCAGATCTACTCCAGCCACTGCTGTGGCTGAAACGTATGCTTTGGGTTAGTTAGCCCTTTCCCAACATTCCCCTTCACTTCCAAGTTCACTACTCCACATTACATTACAAGTGAACAATAATAACCACAATCCCTTTACTCTGTTGCTTTTTTGTTCAAGAGGACAGAAAGACTTTGTCTTGCATACTCATGCACAGCTATGCATGGTGAACTTCTTCTAAGGCAGTAAGAGAATATCCTGCATCCACAGTATGCATTTCCAAGAGAGATCAAAGCAGGGAGAGTAGTGGGATGGGCAAATTGATTTGGAAACATAAGCCAGAAACCTCGCGAGGATACCTTGTAGCTGTAGTGTGCGGAATAATTGACCCACTTCCTGACGTCAATCTTGTCTTCCACAGAGACGGATCTTACAGCAGCTTTGGAGGCAGAGGTTGTAGGCATGCTGAACTCGACATCCACATGACTGGCAAATCTGGAAGGCACTTCCCGGTCAGAGCCAAGTTCAAGGTGGCAGAAGAAACAGTGTGGGTGGCCAGAAGCTATGAAAGAAAAATAAAGAATCAAGAGGCAGGGTTTTTTAGGGAAGAACCAGAAGAGAGAGACTGGAGGAACCACCTTAATAAAAACTAACCAGCGATCAGGTCAACTCCGACTCTTGGCAACGCCACGTTTGTCAGAGCAGAAATGTGCTTGGGAAGGTTTTCAGCAGCTGGGTTTTTTGAAGGAGGTCACCAGACCATTCTTCTGATGTGTCTGTGGATGAACTCAAACCTCCAACCTTTGGTACCACTACCCAGGACCCCCTCAATGAGGAGGCCTGAGAACTGCCGCAGGCTTGGCAGCTGCCAGTCTTTCAGAGTGTCCAAAGCCAAGCAGAGGGTGTGCCGTCTACCCTTTGATAGAATACTATCTGATTACAGTAGTCTGGTATCCTAGCAATAAAACCCACGGCCTGAGATACTGGGGTCACTCTGCTCAGGTCAGAGTGATACTGAACATAACACAAATACTAAGCAATAGGCGCTGTGGACTGGGAGAAGGGTTCCATTCTAAGGTTCTAAGGACTGGCACTTAGCAAACATCAATGTCATTTATCATTAAAAAGCATGAAGGACACAACAATTAGAATTGTCAAGCAGGGCTACCTTATAACAGCCTTACACTTGTCCATGCCATTACCTTTACTAGAGATCTTTCTTCTTTTGTATGGCTTTGAATTCCTTCCTAGTGTCTTTTCCCTTCCATCTGCTGAACTAATGACTTGAGCTACTCTTTAAATCTTAAGCCAAAAATATCCCCTGAAGTATTCTCAAAATCAAAGTTTAGCTTAACCAGCAAAAAATGTCTGTCTTATATTAATGTTGTGTTTGTTGTTAGGTGCCATTGAGTCGTCTCCGACTCATAGCTACCTTACATACAGCAGAACGAAACACTGCCCGGTGGGGGAGAAATAATTTGTAACATCAGGGTTAGAATAGTTGCACAACTTGAAGAATGTAATAAATGTCACTGAATTGTACATGTAGAAATTGTTGAATTGGCGTATGCCCTGCTGTGTATACTGTCAACAATAAAAAAATTAAATGAGAAAACATCACTAACAGCCTCCTGGAACAAAACCACTGATTTCCTTTGAAAGATTAACTGAATTTTCTTAATATCATTTCATATTTTAACAACTATTTTTTGGCATGTTTGTGTGCAAATGGTATATGTAAATGACAAAAACCTTACAGACAGCACATATGTGTTAGGGCAGCTTGTGGTACACGGGGCAGAAGAGTGGACTAGCAGTTAGAACAGCTGATTTTGGCTTCCATTCTCCTGCTAAGTAGCAGGGCTCCAACAGCCAAATTTCCTGTTCTGCCCAGGCTTCAATTCCTCAAATATAAAACAGGGAGACTGGTGGGGGTAGGAAAGGGTGGGCTGCATAATGATGGGCATAGTCCCTTGTGGCTCCATAGTTCTATAAATTGATGACCAATTCTGTTCTTAGATAGTAAGCTGAAGGTTTGATTTTCATCTGAAGATTGTCACTACCTTTTTGAGGAAAAAGAGTTGAAGCTGAGTTCCATGACTATAATCATGGAGGCACCATTTTCACTCATCAGACCTCGCAGGAAATGTCTGTTGAGTTCCCTGTACCAGGTACTGTGCAGAATGCTTTCTCCAGATTCTCTCACTGAATCTTTCCAACAACCCTTTGAGGCCATACTATCTTCATTCTAACAGACAAGGAAACTCTAAGGCTTAGGGAGGGAAAGTGAACTGGCCACGGCCACAGCTAGAAAGTGGCAGAGCACTCCGACTTCACAGTGTTCTGAAATACTTCGTCTGAATCATACCCTCATGGTCCCCAAGACCAGGTTTGCAGGGTGACAGGGGTGGAGAAAGATTAAGTGGCAGGAACCCCTACTAACAACTAGCAATGGATAAACAACATGAAATGGCTTGGGCTTAAGTACATAATTGAAACAGCCTGTTAGTTTTCAGAATTTCCCCAAATAAACAATTCCAATTCTTTTTACTGGACTTTGTAATCTCAGAAATAAAGATATATACATCTGCTCTCCAGGAAAAACATTACAGAAGGAAGTATTTGTTTTGTTATATTTTACAAACTGAACATATTTCAATAGTTACTTCTAAGAGTAAAACTTTGGAAATTAAAGATTTTTCTATTGGTTCTTAGGAAAGGAACTTAAATAAGATACATGTAAGAGTAAACATTATTTAAAAATGAATCTAATTCAAAAAATTTAAAAAAACTGATTATTGTATATCACTAATGTAACTTATATATCAATTATATATTGAGCATTTATTATATCACATACTAGTTCTTAACGAACTAGGTATTAATAACCCAACTACATGTTGTTGTTGTTGTTGTTATGTGCCGTCGAGTCGGACCCAACTCATGGTGACCCCTCCTTGGGTTTCCGAGGCAGTATCACTATGGAAGTAGATTGCCACATCTGCCTTCTGAGGAGTGGCTGGTGGGTTTGAACCGCCAGCCTTCTGGTTAGCAGTCAAGTGCCTTAGGCACTACGATATCAGAGCTCCTACCCAACTGCATAGTGGAAGGAAATGAGGATTCTCTAAAAGGTTTTAAGTAAACTGCCTGAGGTCACACAGCCATTAAGGGGTCGAGATGGGACTGAAACTCTGATGAAGATCTTAATCCTGATTCTGTTATACAGTCTTCTCACTGTATTGTATTAGAACTAGAGCACATGAGAATATACAGATCACATCAAGATGTATTCATTCAACTGCAGCTTAAACTATACTTTGATCTAATTAATTTTAATTGTAACACTGTTGGAATGTTGAGAAAGCATTACTTTCTACAAAACTAACCCCTCCTCTCATCCCACCAGGGTGTATTCACAGCAAACTCTATGTCCCCTGAGGAGACGTCCATTAGTTCCCACCACCTAGTTTCCCAGAACTAATCTTGCACTATTCTTTCTGAAGCCTCCTTCTTCAACCTTTCCAAAAGTCCTGTGACTTATGGAAATCCAACAACAATTCCCACTCTCACTCCTTTTATTTTTTGCTTTTCAGAGCCAGTCAATCTTTGTTGCTTATAAGGAAAAATCTTCTATATAGAATTTTAAAATATTCAACAGAAAGCACTTCAAAACAACTGAGATGACATACACACTTGTTGGGAAAACCGCAAATCCCTATGCCCATGGTGGGAGTTATTTCAAGCTGTGTCTATGTGGTGGCATGCACCAGGACACAGTGGTGGCCTAGTAAAAAGACCTTCAGATGTAGCCGTGAGACTTCAGATGAGTTACACCACCTCATGGGCCTTACTTTTCTCATCTGTAAAACGAAGAGGTTTCACTATTTTCCCCAAGGTCCCTTCTAGCTTGAAAATCCAATGATTCTATAATTGTTATTTGTGTCATTGTTATGTGCTGTCGAGTCGGACCCAACTCATACAACCCCTCCTTGAGTTTCCAAGGTGGTATCAGTACGAAAGTAGATTGCCCCATCTTCCTTCCGAGGAGTGGCTGGTGGGTTTGAACTCCAGCCTTATGGATAGCAGTCAAGTGCATAATTAAGTAATCGGAATCCACATTTAGTGAATTGAAGAGCTAAAAGTTCCAATAAACATAAGCCTGAGGCCAACTTGCCATTTCTCATGTCATGCTTATAACACATCAAATAGTCATTTTCTCCTCATCACCTTGGTTCTTTCTTCCCAAGGGCTCCTGTGCCAAAGGGGGAGTCAGGGTTTCTCCTTTTCTTCTGCCCTGTCAGTCCTGTGGCTGTGGGCTGTCACCCGCAGAAAACAGTGTGAACGTCAGGGGAAAAGAATAAGCAAGCCCAGAGAGGAAAACTCTGAAAAATTCTGTCAGTACAGAAACAGGCTGGCAAAACCAGGCTCAAACACAGAGGTTCAATTGTCTCTTCGCTTTGCACTGCTATCCCCAGTGTCTGACACAGACTGTCCCGAAGTGTGGGTCCACTGCCTGGAGAGGTTACAAAATTGGACTGCCTTTGCCATCCCATCATATCACATCACGCTGTTGTTGTTAGGTGCTGTCAAGTCGGTTCCGACTCATGGTGACCCCAAGTGCCTCAGAGCAGAACACTGCCTGGTCCCGTGCCATCTTCACAGTCATTGCTAAGCTTGACACCACTGTTGTAGCCACCGTGTCACTCCATCTTGTTGAGGGTCTTCCTCATTTTCACTGACGCTCTACTTTACCCAGCATGATGTCCTTCTCCAGGGACTGGGCCTTTCTGATAACATGTTCAAGGTACATAAGATGAAGTCTCCTCATCCGTCTTCACTTGTACTTGTACATTCTGGATGTACTTCTTCCAAGACATATTTGTTCATCTTCTGGCAGTCCATGGTATAGTCAGCATTCTTCACCAACATCATAATTCAAAAGCAACACTTCTTCTTTGGTCTTGTGTTCATTATCCAGCTTTTGCATGCATATGAGGTGACTGAAATACCATGGCTTGGTCAGGGGTGCACCTTAGTCCTCAAAGTTACATCTTTGCTCTTTAACACTTTAAAAAAGAGGTCTTTTGCAGCAGATCTGTCCAATGCAATACATCATTTGATTTCTTGACCCCTACTTCCACGGGCATTGATCATGGAGCCAAGTAAAATGAAATCCTTGACAACCTCAGTATTCCCTCTGATATATCCCTAGAGAAGGATAAGGATATCATGCTTGGGAAAGTGGTTGGTCAGTGAAAAAGAGGAAGACCCTCAACAAGATGGATTGACAGAGTGGCTACAATGATAGGCTCATGTACCAACAAAGACTGTGAGAATGGCACAGGACCAGGCTGTGTTTCGTTCTGTTGTTCATAAGATTGCTATGAGTCGGAACCAACCCAGCAGCACCTAACAACATCATGATGCTACTTATTGGCCCAGCTGTGAGGATTTTTGTTTTCTTTATGCTGGGATGTAATCCACACTGAAGGCTTACATCTAGGGTATGCTGACACAGCCAGTCCACACTCAGAACCGGAAAGACACTAAGCACACCGTGAGGATTTAACAGTGAGAGCAGGGAGAAAGCTAGCTGTATAAGAGTATGACGCTTCAACTAAGAGTTCTTCCAAACATTTTTCTTTTCACTTGGCTAGGATTTTTGCTCTTATTAACAGACAGGCAACATTTGTTATAAACAAGAAGAGAAGTGGTTTAAAGGCTCACAGGATCACAGTCATGTTGCCACTGGAGTTCTTTAAGAAATGAGGCTGTTAAAGAGTTAGGTTGCTCCTTAATTTTGCCATTTCCCTAAATCTTTCTGGACCCACAAGGGAAGTTACTGCCTTTCAGGTTCATCCAAGCACAGAAATACCTCCAGCCCTTATTCATGACACCTGGGAGCAAGCCAGCTGGGGTTGGTAATTTTTTTTTGGGGGGGGAGGGCAGCTGTAGGAGGGAAAGTTGGTTTAAATAAAGCATCCCTTCCTTCACCTTTTGCCGTTTTAGACCCTTTTGGACCTTCATGTCCTGGGTGAATCTTCAGTCTCACTGGGGGTCACTTCTCTTCCCCACCTCCAAGCCCCAGAACCATACTCTAAGCTTGAGATGTCATGATTGACAGGCCTTACACAGGGTAGCTGGAATTATAAATCTAACTCCTTACACGTATTGCACAGATGACTGGCTTTACATTGGCCCTTTTACGTACACTCTGAGCACAGTTAGAAAGATACCTCTTCAGAGCCCAAAAGCCTTAGGATGTGGAAATGGATTATTTCCAGTACTATAACTAATAATTGAGTAAGTCAGAAAAAGATAAACATTCATAAGCTGCTCTAGAAAGCTGTTTAGCAGCTCAGAAGAGAAGAATAATACATAGCTTTATGCAAGTATGAGAATAAGGTGGTGAAAAGATGGGGTGAATTTTTCTGGTCCTGCTATATCCCCTCTATCACTACTCCTGCCACACAAAACCAATGAACATTTTATACAGGAATAGGATTTAGAGCTTTGATCCCAGTTCCATCATAACCATGCAGTTATTTTCACAGAAAAGAAAGCTCTACTTACCTGAGTTTTTGTCAGGGAGTCGGCTTATCCTCCACACGATGGAGTTGAAGGCATGCTCATACTTGGCAGTTCCCAGAGTTACTCTCATGACAGGCTCAGAGCCAGACAGGCTAGCTGAGCCAAAACTTGCCCCCCGGTTCACTTTGGCTTTCAAGGACTTTTCCCCCAGGACACTTTCTCTGCGGAAATTTTTCACCCACTCACTGGGCACAGGGTAACGAACCATCACATTCTCGCAAGGAACCTGAGTGAGAGGGTCACAGTTAGAGGAGAAGCCAGTTGACATCCTAAGCCAGCTCTGCACTTCCACCTCTGCGCCATTGATGCTTGCTGCTGTCCTGAGTGTGAAAGGCAAGGTCTTCTCAGCAAACACTGTCCTGAACCGCATTAGCTCAAACCGGCATGCATCTAAAGGGTTGAACAGAATAACCCGTGAGTTGCTGAATACACCCTCATCCACACACTCATGGAAACGGCACTCATAGAGCTTGATCCACTTTGTAGTGGTGGTAGGCATGATGTCCTGCCGGGAAACTATTTCATTCCCCTTGATGAGGATGTCATTGAGGCCCAAGCGGCACTCTGCCAGCCCAGAGAGGAAACTCAGAATGTGAATCCGTGTCAAGACGTGGTGTTTCAGAATGTGATTGTCTCCTTTGCTCACGATGCCAGAGAATTCATCTCTGACATCCACTGTAATCTCCTCTTCAAGATAGTTCAAACCAACAGTGCTCAAGTCCATTGATGACACTGGCAAATCCATGAGACAGTCCTGAACCGCACGGATGAAGCTCAGGAAGTCATCGTAACTGGTGGTACCCAGCTTCATCACCTGTTCCCTCTCTGCTGTGTGGGTTATGGCTGGTTTGGGCTGATACTTCTTCTTCTCCTTATAGCTGACACGGTCAATCCGCAAGCTGTGGATCCTACCATTCTCATCATAGTTCTGGAGCCGAGGTTCTGAAATCTCATGGCAGATCTCCAGCTTGAACTCACGGAATGGTTTTTCTAGGCCTTGCTCATAATATAATTGCAGATAGCCGCTATCTGTAAGTTTGATATATATCGGTCCCCAGTGCCGGGAAGACATAATGTTTTTTTTCTCAGGGATCCTTAGCATCATTGGCCATCCATCTCTGGCCTGGGGTGGTGCTGAAGCGGGGGGGTGATCGTCTAGTTCAATCCAGGCTATTGGGTCATCGTCAGGTAACGCAGCATTGCCCAAGTGATCAGGATCATCAATCTGGAGTTTCTTGAGTTTTTCAACAGCATCGGAGTGTGACTGGTGTTTGCTTGAGTCATCAAAACTGATAGCGTCCTGGTAGATGACGATGAGGGAGTCTCTTTGGCTTTGGCCTGTGGTGCTAGAAATGGACTTGTTTTGGGAGCGCCTCTCCTGCTCCTCAAAGAAAGCGCTGAAAGGGTTGATAGGAGAGGGCTGCACATCCTGCAGAGTCTCATTCAGGAAAGGGTTGGTTGCTCTCCAAGGTGGAGCCTCGGCTATGGAAGGTGGATGGTTCAAGGAGGAAATGTCCAGCTTCTGAACTTTAGAGAAGTTCATCAAAGTGCTCTTGGGACGTTCTCTCTTCTTGAAAGACCCAGTTGAGTTATTATGTACATCTGGAATCACAGGTGCAATAGGTGGTGTGTTTGGCTTCAGAGGACAGGTGATTGGTGGCAAAGGGCAGCTGACTTCATTGTCTTCAAAAGTGACCCAGCTGGGGAAACGAGCAGAGGTCACTGGAATGGCAGGATGCCCATTCGTGGCTGAGCTGTTCGCCTGCCAGCTGATGGCCTCCATTTCTATTTCTTCATCTTCCTGAAGAGAGGAGGAATTGTCTTGGAAAAAAAAAAAAAAAAAAAAAAGGGAGAACATAAGAGGGACTGTCATTTTAACTGAGCACATACCTGAATGAGAGCTTACTGGAATTTTACTTAGAGTCTAGTAAGTTTCAAAGCAGCTCATTACCTATCTCAATTGCTTAATCTACCCATAGATCTCGTAATTTTGTAATTAGCACAACACAAGGGCCATCATATTATCACATTAAATCCAGTCTATACAAATGTCTATATCAATACTGAAACACTGGTAGGACCAAGGTCACTTGAAATTTAACTTTGATAATGATCCTTTATTTTATATAAGTTTGCTAAATAGATGTTGTCTTTACTCTGTCTAAGGGACATATTCTTAATTTTCAAATACTGAAAACCATGTATATAAAATGATATAAACTGATCTCATTGAATAAACAAGTTCTGCTGTAAGTGATAATGTAATTTAACTGGTGTAATTGGAGGATTTTTAGTCCAAATGTGATAAACACTAAAGACAAAATGTTAACATCCATAATATGTAGTTAAAAAAAAAAACCAACTCACTGCCATCAAGTCGTTTTTGACTCATAGCGACCCCTCCTTGGGTTTCCAAGGCAGTATCTCTATGGAGGGAGATTGCCCAATCTTCCTTCCAAGGAGAGGCTGGTGGGTTTGAACTGCCAACCTTCTGGTAAGCAGTCAAATGCCACAAATCAGTAAGAAAAACATGGAAAATCTAATAGAAATATGGGCAATGGACATAAATAGACAACTCATGAAAGAGAAACCACATATTTCTAATAAGCATATGAAATCACCTCACTAGTAATCATATATCTCATATGCAGGTGAAAGCTAGACTATGAATAAGGAAGACAGAAGAAATGATGCATTTGAATTATAGTGCTGGCAAAGAATACTGAATATACTATGGACTGAGAGAAGAACAAACAAACCTGTCTTGGAAAAAGTACAACCAAAGTGTTCCTTAGGGGCGAGGATGGTGAGACGTCATCCACATACTTTGGACACGTTATCAGGAAGGAGCAGTCCCTGGAGAAGGACATCATGCTCGGTAAAGGAGAGGGTCAGCAAAAAAGGGGAAGGCCGTCAGTGAGATGGGCTGACACGGCTGCTATGATGATGGGCTCCAAAGCAGCAATGGTGGTGGGGGTGGCCCAGGACCCAGCAGTGTTTGTTCTGTGGCACGTGAGGTCACTGCGAGTCAGGACCGACTCCATGGCACCTAACAACAAGTCACAGTAATTGAAATGCAAAATAAATGAAGTGTTTAAAAATCTATCAAGAATTTAGAAGTTTACCCTCAATGAGAGTAAGGGATTTATGATATAGACACTAAATAGACAACTAATGAGACTATTAAATTGTTACATACTCTGAAAACTGGTTGGGCAATTTTTACTAAAGGTCTTACAAATATTCTCAGTGATAACTTGTTGTTGTTTTTGTTATGTGCCATCGAGTCGGCCCCGACTCATAGAGACCCCTTCTTGGGTTTTCGAGGCAGTATCACTACAGAAGTAGGATTGCCCAACCTTCCTTCCGAGGAATGGCTGGTGGGTTTGAACCGCCAGCCTTCTGGTTAGCAGTCAAGTGCCTTCGGCACTATGCTACCAGAGCTCCTGAGTGATTACTTAGTGTTTCTAAATTTGTTATTGTTGTTGTTATGTGCCATCAAGTCGGACCCGACCCATAGCGACCCCTCCTTGGGTTTCTGAGGCGGTGTCACTATGCAAGTAGACTGTCCAAACTTCTTTCTAAGGAGTGGCTGGTGGGTTTGTACCACCAGCCTCCTGGTTCAGTCAAATACCTCCGGCACTAGGCTACCAGCACTCCCATTTCTAAATTATCACTTCCCTAATGAAATGAATCAAAATTGTGAACAAATTTGAAGAAAAGAGATGTTCATTTAGTATTATTTATAACAACAACTGTTCATAATAGCAAAAAGAAAAAAATTGGAAATAATTTAAACATCTAACAGCTGGGTTAATGTTTAAGAAATTAAGGCTCACAATGAAATAACACCCAGCCGTTAAAATGTTTAGAAAGTATACGATAACATGAGAAAATGTCCATGGCATAATCTCTTTTTTTTTTTTCCTTCTACAAGACTTTTCCATTTGAGGGTTTTATTTTATGGTAAAAAGGTTATCACATATAATACTCCACCCTAACAAGCTTTCCAGGATAAATCAGGTAGGACGTGAGTTTTGATGAAGGAACGATCAAACCTATTAAGTAGCATAAGGATCCTGAGTGTCTGGTGGGCTTGTAGGACACCAGTAATTAATTATCATGGAGTTGACTCTGTCTCATGGTGACCTCATGTCTGTCAGAGTAGAACTGTGCACCATCAGGTTTTTAATGGCTGATTTTTTGAAAGTAGGTCACCAGGCTTTTCTTCCAAGGTGTGTCTGGGGGACTCCAGCCTCCCTTCTTTCAGTGTATGAACGGTTTCCACCACCCAGGTACTCTGGCGTTTGGGGAAGGGAAGGGAAAATGAAGCCTGAGCAAGGAGGAGTAGGTTCTGATAAAAGAATGACACAGACTACAATATCTGTCATATAGCAGATACTCAGTAAAGGTTTGATTGATGAATGAGGAAAATAAAGTTAGCTCTGGAGTAGTCCTTCTATTCTCCATTCTACGTCTTTGGAGGAACATGTATAGGAATTTCTGATGTCAATCTACCCACTGTTTCTATTGCTAGTCATCTAGAATCAAAGAGAAATGCTTCTTCAAATGGCTGCGATGTCCGCCCACCTGGCTAAGTCATTATGCATATGAATACCCAACCACGCCAAATCTCTAATGCCACACATAACTGCACACACATGGATGGGATGGCTGGCTTACTGTGTACATTTCCAAGTACAGTAAAACCTGCAAAAGCCAGAACCTGTGTAAGACAGACACCTACCAGAGAAGGAAAACACATTATTTTCCACTAATAGAGAGCAGAAGAAAAGTGGTGAGACTGGACTCTGTCAAAGGTAGAAAACTGGTAAGATTGGGAAAAAGAAGGCAGTCCTGTTGAATTCTGGCTCTCACAGATTTCACTGTGTATTTACTCAAACAGCATTTCCTTCAAATGAAAAGGTCAGTATGCTAATGTAGACTAAACACAAGAGCATGCAGGCATACATATTGACGCCTACCCTAGAAATATAATGAGCAAAAAGTATTTTCTGTATATACAGCACCACAAAAGATTTCAGAGCACTTTAAAATTAAAGGAGAATCTCCCGCAATGAAATCACTGGAAACTTCTGGACATGTGTAAGCGATTTATTTTCTAGAAAAATGTAGGGAAAAGGGTCAGGACACAACCCAGGGTTGTAGGATTTTTATTTAATTCATTGTTGTTTCCCTTTTTTTTTTTTTTTTTGGTAAGGAAGGCTAAAAAGAACACTGTCGCCCCAAGTAAAGTAATAATCAATACTTTGTAGCAGTGACTTATCCTTCCCAGAAAACAGGGAAAGGAGTGTATCTCGAAATTCACTGATTTCTAATGAGGCATCTCTACGGAGCTTCTGTGATGTAATGTTTCCACCCAGACAGTCCCTGACTGACCCAGTCCTTGTACCAGGAATATCCTTTTTGCCTTGGAGCTCATGACCACTCCCTAGTTTAAAACCAGATGAAACCCATTCCTTTACAGGGTGGATTTCTGCCAAAACTGTTTATACTTTCTGCTAAAGGATTCCCTTCTGTTGGAAATCTTGTCCCCAAAATAGCATTTCTCATCTTCCTCCCCAAAACCAAGGGAAAAAAAAAAAGACTTTTGTCTCCACTGAAGACAATTTTTCCCCAAAGAATTCTCTTTCAAACCAAGTTATTTAAAATCACACCACCCCTAGACAGTACTGAAGGATTAGACTCCTAATACAATCTAAATGAAGTGTCTTTAAACTTGGAGGGAGAACTTTGGAATTAAACTCATTTCCAAAGATTCTATTTTCTCTTTGATGGCTATTAAAAAGACTTTGTTACAAATTTCTGCCTCCTTTGGTAGTTAAATGGAGCTCTGGTGACACAGTGCCTAAGGCATTTGACTGCTCACCAGAAGGTTGGCGATTCAAACCCACCAACTGCTCTATAAGAGGAAGATGAGGCATCTACTTCCGCAAAGATTTACTGCCTTAGAAACCCAAGGGGGGTCATTATATGTCGGAATCAACTTGATGGAAGTTGAGTTTGGGTTTTTTTTTTTCTGCAGTTAAATCTTTCATGTTTAAAACCCACCATTCAAGGTAGTGATAAGAGTAGGCCAGATTTTTAAAAATGAGAATCTACTTTTATGGGAAATAATTTTTAAAGAAAAAAATCGTTTACAGATGAAAAGCATAAGCTAGTCCATAGTAAACATGACATATGCCACTTCTTGAAGTGGACCCAAATATTGCCAAATACTACTTTTAAAAATTACCTCTTATTAACAGTGACTTCCCTATTTGTGAGCTCTTAATTTTGCTTCAATTAATTCAAGCATTTCATCAATTGCTCACACACAAGTTCAAGCTGAAGCCGAAGAAAATTAAAACAAGTCCATGAAAGCCAAAATATGACCTTGATTATA